GACCAGCTCCTCCCGTGTAGTTCTGGGCTGGTTCCTCACCTCTGCGCCACCACTCCCTTACTCAGTGTGCTAACAGAGTGCATAACAACGTATGAGCTCATGCATGACGTTATTAATACATTTCACCAAAATAGCTAATTAAGTTGCACCAATATCCATTTTAAAATAACTCAAATCTAAAAATCCTTAAAGAACTCTTTGATAACGAAAGCAGGAATAAGGTGTTCATTGTAGAGAAACTACAATAAATGTGATCTCAAAACTTCATGCAAACACGTGTCGAAGAGTTAAAAGAACATGGAGACGGTCGACACACAAGAACAGGAAGAATATTTATTGTTTATTGTTTGTTTGTGGTTTGAGATCGAAGCCCCTCTCTTCTTCTCACCCAGATGCTTTTCAGTTCTTCACCTCCTGAAAAACAAACGTGACCGACTTTAAGCTCTTTATCTGAGTGGAAAAAAATAATTTCAAGACAGCTTAAGTGTCTAAACATAAAATAAAGGGATAGTTCAGCCATTTTGAAGTAAGTTACCATGTAAAAGTTATGAATAACTATTATCTTACCTGTTGTAGACAACTTTTTGAATAACTTCAGTCAGGAGAAAAACTGCACTGCATTTCATACAAATACTCATCACCTTTTTCACACCACCATCACATTTCTATTACATGGTTAGTTGCATGGAATCCTATGTGCAAGTACAGGTAGCAGCAGCTAGCTGTAGCACTTCTGGCAGAAAACCCATAATACTGACTGACTGCAGAGGGCTAATCAGGCAAGAAAAATAAGAACTTCACTGCTCTTGACTTGTTTTGCTTTATATTTGACAATAAAGTTTTTGTAGCTGTATCTCATATGTTCTGGTGCAGCCTGGGGCAAATTTCCTGTGCAAATTTAATATTGCTGACAAACTAATTGCTGTGAAATTATGAATATAGACGTTAATTCAAGACATTTATGACAAAAAAATATTTAAAAAGTCAATTTTTCAACATTTTATTATGGTTGATGTGAATGCTATGCCTTCATTTCACCATCAGTTCCAAATTAAACCATATTTTTTATGAAATTCCTGCCTGACACCTAAATGAACTACAAATGCTACAGCTAGCTGCTGCTGCTGGCAAATACCCGCAGAATTCTATGTAAATATCAATTTATTGTCAAATTTACAACCATTTCAATCAAATCCCATGTACCATTCTAACGTTTTTTAAGACTGGAGATGTTTAAAGATGGCAGCAATCCACTTATGTCTTAGCTGTGTTTGGACTTTTATTATTAGATTATTAAAAAAGTAAAGTGAAATGTGTTGTCATCATTGTTCTCAGACCATGGTGAAATTAGTTCTCTGCATTTAACCCATCACTTGTGAGATACACCCAGGTGGAGCAGTGGGCAGATATGTAGGCGCCCAGGGAGCAGTTAGGAATTGGGTGTTTTGCTCAGCGACACCACGGCATGTGGGAATGGCTGGGAGACAAACCTGCGACTTTCTGATCCCGATGTGGCTGCCCTGCCTCTACCCCATCCCAGCCCCCAAATCATTATTATCTAATTATTTTCCACAGATGAATCAAAATGGTGGGATTATTTGTAAGGTGTCTGGCATGTCATGTTTTGTGTTCAGAGTTTTTTCTTTTGTTCCAGACTGCACCAATCCAAGAAACACTGGTTCTATATACTTCTCCAAAGTACTATTACTCTCTTTAACATAAGAGATTCACTGAACCACAGTCAACCCTTCTGTCAAATTGTGACCCATTAAATTGTGTAAAAAAAATAAAATAAAATAAAAAACTGGTCAAAACATTTAATCTTTATTACATACAGTGGAGCTTGAAAGTTTGTGAACTCTATAATTTTATATATTTCTGCATCAATTTGATCTAAAACATCATCAGATTTTCACACAAGTCCTAAAAGTAGATAAAGAGAACCCAGTTAAACAAATGAGACTAAATATTATACTTGGTCATTTATTTTTTTATGAAAATGATCCAATATTACATATTTGTGATGGTAAAAGTATGTGAACCTTTTCCTCCAGTATTTGGTCTGACCCACCCCCCCGTGCATCAATTACTACAACAAGTACACAAAGTTTGTTTTCTCAGTCATCCAGGTATATAACAACAAAAAAGGTTGAATCATGTCATCTGGACTTCGTTTTTTTTGTTAAAAAGAAACGTTTC